TCCCTACAATCATTCACTGAGTAGAAAAAGGGTCACTTCAGGCTGCACAACTTCACCGCTGGCATATGGCAGCAAACCCACACCAGAAACACAAGATCTTCCTCCCCTCTAAAACAGATGGCACGCCGATCAAGTCGGATATAATCTGATGCTAGCTGCACTACTACTGCTATTAAATCAGGAACCAAAAGCAGTGGAAAGTAGTACAAAGAAAAACCCAACGCAGGGGAGGCAGAGGACAAGGAAGAATAGTGAAGAACAGTAACAGGAGACAACCTACAGCAGCAAAGGCAGACTGCTTTTGGGTACATTTACGATTTAACAACCAGGAATGGCAATAGGAAAGGAGCTGCAGTGGCCCTCATCCGATTACAGAGGACGTTCCCCTGGCCTGATGCTGGCCCGGTTCCCTCTGCTCTTGTGATTCACTGCACTGGGCACCTGCCAGGGGCTACATATCCTGCCTGCTTACATAATTACATATTTATGATTCTGCCGAGAATTCTTAGTCAAAGCTTATTTCTGAACTGTAAAATGCCTACAGGATCAGCAGAGAAAGTTCTCCAACAAATGAGACTTCACAAGAGAGCCACCACTTCTTGTAATTTTTAAGGACGGTGGTTTCCTCTTCAGCTGAATCATTCAGTAAGTAAACTTCAACTGGCAGCAAAATAAAGGCAAGCGGTGCTTTCCTTTTGAAACAGAGACTGCTAGTGGCTTTTATTTGTTCTTTGTAAATATATATATACATATATATAATTAAGAACCCCTCCACAAATGTCTCAGAATGCAGCAGTAAATAAACTTTTAATTCTTATCACAGTATGCACCCTCTCACAATAAAGTCAATACTTCCTCTATATCATATTACCAGCACTTCCTCTTCAACACATATACCACTATGTCAGCTTATTCATGCTGATCCAATAAAGAGAATTTATGGATGAACACTCTGAAATATATTTTTTCAGCTGTAACCAATTATCAGACAAGAAAACCACTGCACTCCACCTTTCTTTGTTGATAATAGCATCCATTGATTTCAGAAGGAGCAGAACAGTCCAAAATTTCATGTCATCACTCAGTTTAGACTAGTTCAAAAACTGCTACAAATACACACATAGATAACTTCCTTTTAAAGGTGTACTCCATCAGCTGTACAGCCAAAACCTTCAGCAGTAAATTTCATGAGCATTTGTAGGCTCTACCACTGAAAACACTTTCAAGCTTGGTTAGCTTTACGCACATAAGTGTTTCTCACTTACATCTGAAAAGAACCATTCCTACACCTGAAGTTATATGCATGCATACACACATGCATTTGAAGTAGTCTTACTACTAAGCCCACTTAGTCTTGTAGAGCTATTTACTTTAAAGCAACTATTCACATCATGTTAGCAGTATCTTAAGGACTTCCAAGTTTCAAATCCCTTCAAAGCAAGGGCCCCTGTTTTTAACATCAGAAAAACCAAACTTCAGCTGTACCATTTGTTTGTGATTCTGACACAACATGCACCTCCAGCAAGAACAGCACTCGCACACTCACACCTATTACCACTCCCCTGACTTGAGCCAAACCTGCCATACCGACCCAGGGCAACTACCAGTAATCCTTCACTTCCCTTTGCACCATACTTCCCTGTGGGCCTCTGAGGTTATTGGCACAACCTCCTGCTGCCCTTGGGCATTTTAAGCAAACGGACTGCCAGAAAACTACATTCACTCACTCCCTCTGCTGCCTTAGAAGGAGCAGAAAGATCACAGGAAGACTCTACAGACAGCACCACAGAAGAGTTGCAAGAGCAAGATCCCTCACAATCTCAGGGAGGTTTTTGCAGATATCTTCTAATCCTGTCAGTAGATGCATTTTCTTCAGAGGAGTGCTTCTCCTGCCCATCCTCCAACCACTCTTGCTGTTTCTGGGCAAAACCTGTCAGGTTAATTATGCTGAAGTGTTGCACTCATGGAACTTCCCGCCATGAGAGTCTTGGTGCCTGCAAAGCTCTTCTGAACAAGTCTCTTGCACATAAGAACAGCTGCTCTACCATTCCTACCGAATTAAACCCATCACAGCAAGCTGCCATACAATGCTAAAACCCAATGCTTGCCAGTTTTCAGTAGCTTTCTAGTTTCTGTGCGCTCCTTCAGGCTGCTGGACTAGACAAGCTTTGACAACCCCCTTCCAACCGAACCATTCTATTCAAATTAGTCATATATATAAATACATACACATGAATATAAACAAAAATACTCATATATAGCTCCATGTATTTATACGTACACATACCCACACATAGGCAAAGAAAGGAAGAAAAAGAAAGCAAGGCAAACTGCCCTGCCTCCAAAACTCACTGCACAGTAGGACGGAAAATACCTCTTGGGTAAGCTAGCTTTTCCATCACACTGCAAAAATAATAATAATAGTTTGCTAAAGCTTTTATGGAAAATCTGATGCCATCTTGCCTCTAGGCCAAAGGACCAAGACTTTCATTTTTATTTCCAACACATTCGTTAACCCTTGTGACCTGAGGCACCCCGTTAGAAGCCTCCAAATTAACCTCTGAAATCCCAGAAAACGTTGCATTATGCACCTATCTGCCTTCCTCACAAAGCCTTTTTTTGTTAACTTCGCAACTTTCCCTTAAGAGGCCAATCCACACCGACTAACCACAGCCATACTCCACTTTAAAAGGCTTCAACACAATATAAATACATGCTTTTACAAAAACTGCCAACAATTCCGGTATGTTTTTAAGAATGAACTAATACTGTACCCTATGTGTTAACACAACCTATCTGACGCACACACAAAAAATTAACATCATCTTTCATTCACCTTTAAAATGAAACAAAGCAAAAACAAAAGAGGATGTACAACTTCTGCACTTTAGTGCTGGTGTGGTTATTTTGTTTTTTTTTTTGACTTGCAAGAAATGGAACTAACAGTCATGATTAGCAGACTGATCAAAATGCTCGTATCATTTCTCACGGGAATCAAAAACGTATTTCTGATTGAAAAACACGTATTGAACATGGGTAGTCAAATGAAACCAACGCTGTGAGAAGAGCACAAACTGCTTTCTGCAGGTCAGCCCCTGTCCCACTCTTTGTCTACACATCAAAGAGAATAATAACATAATTAAAACCCACGACAGTTGTATTTTACTACGATCTGGAGTATGCTGTCCTTACTTTGGGATGGTGATGAAGGTGTCTAGCTTGGCACTTAAATCCACATTCAAACTGTTTCAAAGTTAATCAAGAGATGAGTAATTGTTTAGAAATCTCTGGAATAATGAAATATGCCACCTTATAGTAAAAGCAGCCTTTAAAACAGAAGAAAAAAAAACAAAAACAAAAGTAGAAACTATTTCACTTTGCTACACGTTACAGCTGAGCATGTTTTACGATCCCTGTAACAACATGCCCTTGAGAGAGTACAATTCTGAATTTCTAACATAATTTGTAGAGGGAAAATTAGGGCAAAACGCAGCAACATTTCAAATAGAGTCTCTGAGTACTTTAAAATTTTATGAAGTATAAGGACTAGGTTAATACGGAATGAGTCACGTTTTTAAGAGAAGCAGCAACACAGACCTGAATTTCAAGTCATAACTAAAACCACGCACAACTAACACAAAATAAAAAGAAATCAGAGAAGCCTTCTGTTGGGAAAAGGTCAACAGCACAGTGAAAACTCAGCAGCAACAGAAGAGTCCGAGGGCACTGCTGGTTTCACATTCAGGCAATTAAAATGCCAGGCTATGTGACCAGGTACAACTGGCACCTTCTTACTCCACAGCTCTGTTCCTTACAGCTGAAATTCATCCCAAGCAAAAATAAAGCGCAGTTTATATCTGCAAAGTTTGAGCTTAAACATCAGGGTATTAAAGGGCACAAACTCTTGTGTAGATCACACGTGCTGCATTACTCTTCACCCCGTGATGTCCCACAGTCAACAGGCTCACTGACTGCATTTCCCAGGAATCAGTTACACCCAAACTCTCTCAAACTTTTTTCACGGGACAAAGCAGAGTTGTTAAGCTGTTGGTGAAACTACAACGTACTCTTTAGACCCAGCGCCCACACAAATCAACTCAGCTCTCAGATCCCAAACTGAGTTTCACACCTTGTGATTAGAAACACCATCCTTTTAGCACTGAGCATAATGACCTAGACATGCCTGAAATGCAGGCTGACACTTCCTGTATGTAGTTCTTAAGTCCAGTGCTGCATTTGACACTCCCATAACGCAGCTCACTGTGATAACCTAAAACTCAGAACTGCTGAAAGGAGACTTTGAATCTAATCAAAGTCACAGATTAAGTTCCAGTCTCAGAATTGGAACTCAGTCTTCAGAACTCACCTTTGCCTTCCACCTACACAACTGTTAGAATACAGAAATACACCATAATGACAATTTGCAAGTATCACCTTCCAGCCATCCAAAACATTCAGTAATATTCCAGAGATGGGAGTAAGAAGATCACACCAACCAAGACTATTTCTAGAGAGAACTTTAACTTCACTGGTCTTCCTCTGTCAAATGCACTGAAGCAAAATACACCTGACACTGTGTACATTTGTAATAGGAGATGCTGTTAGCATTGAAATAAGAAGCAGAGAGCCCCCCCCCCAAGGGGGTCAACAGAGCACTCATCTCACCTACAACTTGCCCAGAACAGGCTTTTGGCCAAAAGAGGAAGCAAAACCAGCTACGAGCAGGATGAGCTATGTCATTCTCAAGTCACACTCCTTGCTTCAAGATTAACATGCTGCCCTACTTTCCACAAGGTAAAGGAGAAACAACTTCAATATTCTGTCAAACAGAATAAAGCTCTAGATGTTTCTTAGGAAAAAAAAAAAATAAATCAATTTGTGTACTGGAAAAAAACACCACCACCACAGTCACTCTGAAAGTACTGTCTGCGGCAGAAGAGGACCTACGGTGTATTTGCAATAAGAAACCACACTGCTAACTCAGTTAAAAAGGTACTTACCATTGGCAGTGCATTGATATGCAGAAGTTTTCCTTTCAGGTGTCTCTTGCCACAGAGGGGTGATGCTGAAAGAAACAAGGAGACAAATAGGAAAAATTAGTATTTATTATTCTGAGAACAGCAGCATTAACACAGTACAACATCAGCACAGCCCACCCCACTGCTCCTGGCACCAAACTCGTGTTCTGCCTGCACCTGCAGAGCCCCATCATACAGCACCCTGTGGGGAGCCTGCAGCACCCACCTCTGAGCACTGCCTGGTCAGTGAGCACCACCACCGCCTGACCTCAGCAGTACTGCACCCAATCAGGAGCACAAACCACCACCTGTATCAAAGCCCTCATGTCTGGATTTGCCTTAACTTTCCACAAAAGACTGTGGGATGCTAACCAGGCACAGCAGGCAGCTCCCAAAACCTTTTGCCCATGCCAAATCCATTCCGGAAATAAACTTCAGCAATGGACATTAAACACCCTGAAAGCCCCACATAAAAATTAACACTGCAGTGCTTTGACAGAGAACCTCTTTTACAAAATGATTACATCCACTGAGAAGCAGCAATTCAAATAAATAAATAAATAAATAAATAAATCCAAGCTGTTTTCCTACCACATTCTGTGCTGGGCAACCAGGTTTACGGCCACAGGTGTGCCCAGGCACCAGAGAGCCCAGAGCTCTGCAGTGAGCTCAGTGCCTGAGCCAGCAGCTCGCACTGATTGCCCGAAGCTGGCAATATGCACACAACAGAAATCTTGCAAGAAATCTTTCCCATCTTCCAAAGCAGAAGAATGTAGTCCAAAACCTCCCATACTAACATAAGACTGCCACTGTTTTCTTTAAATTCCCCTGGTAATTGTTTCACGCATCCTACAATAAAATAGGTAAGTACAGGCAAACACTTTTCCACATCCAAGTGTGTGAGTGTGTGTGGACTCCATGCAGGGCTGTAACCATTTCCATGTAGCACCAGTGAATTATTTTTACTCATACCAACATTTATGCATGGCTGCTCACCATGCAAGTACTTGCACACTACCTTTCTTATTAGGAAATAATTTCATCACCCACTCCAAGAGCAGAAAGAGGGACAGAAGGACATGGATGACCAGTAAAGCATTATCCGTCTGGTTTTAGATTAAACAAAACATCTCCAAGCTATTCAAAAACCTTTACAGCAAGTAAAGAACCTTCAGGGCTCGTGACTAACACTGCTCTCAAGTGCCATTCCCAAAGTCAATCAGTAGGAAACGGTTGATTACAAACCCATGTCTGAACCCACCGTCAGGGCAAGCAGAACCTAACAGCACAAGGAGCTGCTGCAGAGGATGCTGAAGAATGCGAGTATGTGGGGAATTGAAAGAATTTGCACACATGCTCATTTTCCGTTCCTTGGCTGTGCTGGCAGGGCAGTAGCTATGTACATGAGTAGAGGAGAGCTGCCCTTGCCAAGGGGCACGTTGGCCCACATGGGGCTGGTCACAGTGTTCTTCCCTGCCACAAGGGCTGCAGGGCAGCACGGAAGAAAAGGCTTCGTGGGCTCGCTCAGCAAATCCCATAAACAAACGTTATTTACCAACAACTGGAGTTTTCCTTAAAAACAAGAAGAAACAACCAATATCTGCCCTCCTCATCTGAAAGCAGGATAGATCAGTGTCAGGTCTGTGTCTCGCACACGATGGAGGAGAGCTCCACGCAACATGTCCTTCAGGTTGTTTCGCTTGCAAAGGAACATGTCAAACATAAATCAAATAACAACTGCACAAACGCTTCCAATGAAGAAAGGCCTTCTTCAGTGCCCACCACCCCAACTGCCCGCACACCTCATGGCCAGGCTGGATGCCCAGCCTCCTCACCTGTGCCTTACATCTGAACTGAACAGGGACATGGGAAAATCTGGAAGAAGAGAAGCAAGTACACCAAGAGCTCCCTGACTCTGCTACACTCCTCCTTGTCTGCTGTGGCTCTGATTTTAAAGAGGAGCACTTGAAATGACACAGACTTTTGGAAAACACTGGGACGTCCTTCTTCAGAGCCCGGTGCTGAGCACCGACTCTGCGTTGTCAGCAGATTTTTCCTTCCCAATTTATCCTATTGGAATTTGTTATTTGGCACATACCTTGAAATAAAGCAGGCGACAGCTGTAATGTATTGATTTTAGACTCGCTCTCTTTATAGCCGACCTGCTACACTGATTTGACCAGGTGACCAGGTGTAGTAACAGCCACACTACCCAACATTTAAAAATAACCCACTAAATGTCCTTGAGGCTGATAAGACACACCTGTGCAGAGAGTATCAGCTGCTGCCTTTAGATCCCTCCTCTCCGAGAAAGCAGGATTTTGTGGTTTTTGTTTTTGTTGGTGTTTTCTTTTGAACACCTTCAGTTTGACTGGACTACTCCTCTCAACCTAAGAAGAAATACAACTTGAGGAAGAAGTGCATCCTGCCAGATCCCGGGGTTGGCAGCACACTCTGGCCAGCTCTGCCCGCACCGCACAGACCACCCCACCAGCAAGGCTCTCCCCACACCTGCTAGCTAAAAACAAAACCAAAATGGCAGCTCATGCTATCAGCATCTCGGCCTGTCATCATCACCGAGTCATAATGGTGTGCTACCAAGACAAACCAGCAGTGAGGCTGGAAATGCTCATCATCTTCAGCGCGAGCAGAGCCGCTGCCACTCCCCATTTCCACTTGCGTGCTCGGATTTTTCTTCTAATCCTCTTAGGACAGCAATGTTTATACTGCTTTCTGAGACTTTTGTGCTATTTGAGCTTTAATAACAAATTTGCTCATTAAATGCTGTGCTCTGTGAATTACAAAGGCCTTCCAAGGACAGCTCTTTCCTCCTCAATTCTCCTCGAGTGACCCACCTTCATCTGGCTTCAGTATCTGCAGAGCGTCCCAATCAAAACAGAATTAAAAATAACTAAATCCTGGATGTTCCCCTCAGTAACTAGGCTGCAAAAAGCATCAGACAATAGCTTTAAAAGCCTAAATTGAAAACTAATCACTGCATTGAATCCTTCCTTTCATTTGGTTAATAGGCATATACAAAACCAGTGGTGATTCTGCCATTGCCACGCTTGGAACGTAAACAGAGAAAATCAAAAGTTACTTCTTGTAATCACACTTTCACTGCAATCTATGGGATTTTTAAAGAAACCAGCCCAGTACTTCTGCAATAACATCTGCTTTTGCATCTAAGAGAGAAACTGAATTCAGATTTATCACAAGTCATGAAGGTCAACCAACTGGAGTCAAGAAGACCAAGTCAAGAAGAGAAACAAATATGGACAAGTGAGGGAAAATGGTAAAGAATAAATGAGGACCGCACACAAGGCAGCATTAAAAATGGTCATCACGTGGTTAATTGCAGCTGGGCTGGTGCTGCCAAGCATGAGCCAGCCCGGGGCTGCTGAAGGGCCAAGCCAGAGGGAAGGCCCAGCATCACAACCAGACCGTTCAGGGGCTCATCACAGCACTGCATGCGAGGCCACGTGGGATCACACTCGGTACTCAGAGATCCCCAGTGAGGTGTCTGTCTGATCCTGAGCTCCATCTGAAGCAGCTTTCCTCTGCCAATTAACTGAGAAATCTCCATTTCCTAACCTTGGTTCTGGTTTTAGGTCTTTATTACGTAAGAAATCTGGAAAACACAGATGCAAGCCAACTTTCTGGACTTTTAGATGAATATGTATATACATACACAAACACACACACAAAAGTTGCACAACTGCTCTGGAGAAAACAGAATCCAGATATACAAGCACCTTTCAAAGTGCACAACGCAGCACTCACTGTGCTATGATAAGCACACAAAACCAAGACTAAAGCAAGACAATATTGCAGCATGGCAGCAGTTGCCTCCACGTTTAACGAAAATTTCTTTAAAAGCCCAAAACTGAGGGAATCATAGAAGATTGCTTATAACATACTGAAAGGAAAGGAAGCTCAATTGCTGGAAAGGAAACCGTACTGGCCAGCCCCATTAAAAACACATAAAGCACCAGAGTAATCTTGTCAATACCAATTAGTTTGTACCATCAGGGAAGGCAGGGGAAGAGCCCCGCTGCAGCACAATTTCACTTGCAAGTCATTTAAATGAAATTCATTAGTAAGTAACCCAATTCACAAACTGGAAGTTAAAAATCCTAGAGAACAAAGTATAACCCAGCCGAGGGTGGGAAGAGAATGAATGGTTGTTGTTCCAACAGCTCTTGCTCCAAGTGCTGAGCACGATGTGCCATAAATCCCACCTCTACACTGCCATGTACTTGACCACCATGCATCCATATAAACCCCACATACATTTAATTTGTGCTGCTTGTTTGTTCTCTTCTGAAAATAGTGGATGTTGATTCACTGACAAATGTATCTCAGTTCTAGAATAAAAATACAAACAAAATTTAAATTCACCACAGGGGGGAAAAAAAAAAAATGAAGAAAAAAAAAGTTCCAAATTGTGTTTAATTCACTCTCCTGGAGGTAGGAAGAGTCTCTTCCCTGTGACAGCACTTCCCAAACAGCCTCAGCAGCAACAACCACCAGTGACTTCCAGCACAGCATCACGGCTGGATGGCAGAGATCCCCTCCTTTGCCAGCACGGGAACCTGTTCCTATGAACTGATAACAAGGTTACCAGGGCTTCTAAACAGGTCTGTAATCTCAGTACGGAACAAAGCTCAAATGGCAGCTTTGGATAAAAGACCTTTCTCACTGAGATTTCTGCTCCCGGTGTCCTCCATATCTGAAAACAGGCAGGGCAGACAAGATGTTCCTTTGCTTTGGGACTCACTGTGGTGCTGCAGAAGAAACAGTCCACCGCAGAAAGCACCAGAAATTGCTAGAGTAGGGCAAGGGTACCACTCTACATGCTTCTTCGACTCATTTCTTCTTAAATAATCTAATTCATTGAATTCATCGGAACTCTGTCAAGTGTGCCATGCTTTGGGAGGTGGGATGCACGTCACAGGTAGATATCACATTTGGAAGTGCTGCTGAAATGTCTGAATAAGGAATTCCCTGAAAGTAACAAGAGGACATAACATCGTGGTATTTCCAA